AGGAAAACCAAGAAAACTTTCATATTTTTAGATATTTTTCGCTGCATGAAACAATCACTGTTTAACATTTTATCTTTCCTGGGCTGCCAGTTGTCTCTGTAGTGCTTGATAAATGTTACTGACGGCTAATGAGGAGAGGAGGGTCAGTGCCTGGGGAGAGAATGAATAAAGTAGGTTTAATGTACAGGATATCCAAACATAATTCATATGATATACTAGAACTCTTAATTTTGCCTGTATTAGAAGCAACTCATTCACTGTGTTTTTAGGAGATCATTAGATTTTTAAAAATCTTTCTCTTATTTAAAATCTTAAATTTATTCTAGTATATTACAAAATATAAACAATTTTCCACCAAAATTAGAACACGTCTGTTTCTTAGTTTGTAGAGTCCTCCTTTGTAATTTTTCACGAAAAATTATTCACTTTCAGTAAAACTATAAAGAAGCATTGATTTTTCATTTTTAATGCACTATATTTTGCATCTGAATCTAGCTTTAAAGGATGTACTGCTTTTATACCATGCTTCTGAATCTTGTATTTGCTTGAGTTTCTTAGGTTTTAGGTAACATTTTAAAACATCTTTCATTATGAAAAATTGCAAGCATGTACAAGAATAGAATAGTACTCATCATCCAACTTCAACAGTTGTCAACTCAGGGATAATTTTGTTTTAATTATAACCCTCATTACTCCCCTTCCCTTTTTTTATATGCAAACATTTTACTGAAGTCTAATGTACATATAGAAAAGTGCACAAATCATGTCTACAGCTTGAGGAATTTTTTACATCCTCTTGTATTATCTTGAAGCAATCATCATGCTTTAACTACGTATTTCATCCTTGTATTTTAAACAAATGCCATTACAAAGACCGTGCTTGTATAATGAAACTTTCCATATCTTTGGTGTATTGATAACTAGTTGCAACAAACTTTCCAAAATAATCCAGAATAATACTATAAAACAGTTTGATATGGTTTGGCTGTGTCCCCCCTTCCCCCACCCCGATCTCATCTTGAATTCCCATGTGTGGTGGGAAGGACCCAGTGGGAAGTAGTTGAATCATGGGGGTAGGTCTTTGCTTTGCTGTTCTTGTGAGAGTAAGTCTCACAAAATCTGATGGTTTTAAAAATGGGAGTTTCCCTGTATAAGCTCTCTCTCTTTGCCTGCTGCCATCCCGGTAAGACATGACTTGCTCCTCCTTGCCTTCCGCCATCATTGTAAGGCCTCCCCAGCCACGTGGAAGTGTAAGTCCATTAAACCTCTTTCTTTTGTAAATTGCCTAGTCTTGCATATGTCTTTATCAGCAGTGTGAAAACAGACGAATACACAATCCTTCTTCATAGTGAAACTACCTGATTGTTGTTGACATTTTAAGCAAATAGGAGGTGGGGAGATAAGGAGTCCATGCAATAAGATGTCTATAGCTCCTTTTCTACCATAAACAAATAATTGTTGTTTAGGTGATTTGTGATTTGTCTTTAAAGCACTCTATTTGTCCAGAAAATTTACCCAAACCTTCAAATTACTTTCAAGTCAAATCACATAGCATGTGAGGAACTCCAAGAGGGTGATGGGACACAGTGACAGTAAAGTTAATTTTCTTTTTCTTTTTCTTTTCTCTATCATAGGCAGTAGGACTTGTGACAGGCTTTTCTAGGTAGGAAAGAAAAGAAGGAAGGGAAGAAATAAATAGCAATAGATGACTCAATACATACATATATGTATGTAAAGCAGAAGGGAGGAAAAGAAGCTGAGGGAGAAAAGGATGGATAAGGAGAGAAAGCCTGCAGGACCTCAGGGTATTGTGTGGTCCATGGTGTGACTGCACATAAGAAGAGCACTCTCTATCCTTTGAAAACTCACCAGAGATTCTGGACATAAGAACTGCTTCATTTCTTTCTCTTGCCCATTGGAAACAAGCTTTTTAGAATTCATTATAATTAAATTAAATTGTGCAGGTATAATGAAAAAATTACAGTGTTCCATGGAGATCTCTTCCATGAACTCATGCTTATTTTTAATAGCATCAGTATCTTTAGGGAAAGTAAAAATGTGAGCAACCAGATGGGTAGGTTAGAGAGTGAGAGTAGGGGAGGACGTGGAATCCGCGCTCCTCACCCTCAGACGCTCTCGTGGCTTTAGCAGTGTGGCTCTCGCAGTGACAGCCTGTCACACTGACCATGCTGCTTCTCCAAGGTGTGGAGTGACAGCTCAGTGTGACCAGACCACCCAGGTTAAATGGCCTATGGGCTGAGGCATGGTGTTCTGGACTATGGTCGGCCTTTGTTATACTCCTGAAAGATTTATTTTATTTTATTTTATTTTATTTTAGCTTAAAAAGCTGTATGAAATTATTTTTTGCATCATGTCTAAAAATGAAATTTTTCTCAGTTAACCCCAAATGTACTGACTTATTCAGAGAGTGCTGGTTTGTGGACTCTTCTCATGTTTTTTGGGTGGTATCTATATTTTAACCATTTCTCAAATCATTAGCACCTTTATTTTTAGCATTTTTGGCAGGCCAAAAATATACAGGAGATAAAAATTGAACTCATCCGTTTAGATGCATTTTAATAGTTCTAGCAAAAGACTCTTTGGAAATTGGATTTTAATTGTGACTTGAAATATGAATTTTATTCAGTGTTTCTTATTGATAGCCAAGCACATTTAAGGGAAAAAAAGTTGTTTCAGATTTTTAGTCGTTCCTATACCTCACCACTTCCCATACTGAAAATATGAGAAACTACTTAATACTAGTTCTAACTGATCTTTGGGGAAGTTTGTGGTATCATTTTCCTTTTTAAAATAGAGATGGGCTCTTGCTGTATTGCCCAGGCTGTTCTTGAACTCCTGGCCTTAAGCAGTCCTCCTACCTTGGCCTCCCAGAGTCGAGATTACAGGCCTGAGCTACCACACCCAGCCTGACTATCATTTTCAAGCTAGAGCTGTAGCTGAAATTCTGGGCTTGGTAAGCACTCAGCATTCCTCAATAACAGGACTGCCTATGGAAAATTCCTTCAGAGCCAGGCATGGTGGCCCACACCTGCAATCCCAGCACTTTGGGAGGCTGAGATGGTCAGATTGCTTGAGGCCCAGAGTTCGAGACCAGCCTGGCCAACATGGTGAAACCTGGTCTGTACTAAAAATACAAAAAAAAAAAAAAAAGAAAAAGAAAAAGGAGCCAGGCATGGTGGCATGTGTCTGTAGACCCAGCTATTCAGGAGGCTGAGGCACAAGAATCACTTTAACTCAGGAGGCAGAGGTTGCAGTGAGCTGAGGTCGCACCACTGCACTCTAGCCTGGGCGACAGAGAGACTCTATCTCAACAACAACAACAAAGAAGTCCTCCAGTTACTGATGTGCTTTCATTTTATTTTCCATTCTTTGGCTCTTAACCCTGTTATTAGTTTATATCCCAGGCCCTAGGCAGTAGTAACTACTTTACCCAGGCCTGTTCAGGCACCCCTCACTGTCCTGCTTCTGTCCTTTCCACTAGGCCTATAAAATGATCAAACTTTTTTATATGCGCAACTGTTTTCATGTGTGTCCCCTCTGTCTTTGTCGTAAATGAAACTTTGTGTTTCCCCCAAACCTGTATGTCGTGGGCAGACTTCTTGAAGGGATCGCTACCCACAGCTCACTGGGAACCTAGGTGGAAGGGTACCACTTCCAGACCATTGCTCTCTCACTGCCATCAGCCTCACTTTTTTTGTTTTTTCTTCACTGTTCACTACAAAACAAAGTAATTTTAAGATATTTTAAAAAATTGACATTAAGAAGCTAGATTAGGTAACTTATAATATGTGACATTAAATATTTTGAGAAATTCTTGGTTTCATTGGAAGGCATTTGTAATGATAAACCTTTTTTCAGTTATAATGAGATACTAAGCAGAGATAATTCTTTCATCCCAGATAGCAATTTCTTATTAACAATTGATAACATTTGAACTGAAAGAGATTCTTGGCTTTATTTCTATATTTTTTTTCTACTTAGGTATTTAACTCTTTTGACATCCTCTTATCCCCTCAATAGGATCCAAAATATGTCTAAAATTAATTCAAAAGAAAAATAACTATTTGAATTATTGCTTGTGTTTGAAAACAATATTTACCGTAGTAGTCCACATTTTTTTCTTTTTTAAAGCTAAGACAATTAAATAAAAATGTAAGGGATAAGAAATATAGTTGAAGTCACAATAAAGTATATTTTCTTTTATGGACATAAAACAAATTTTAAATGTTGGCTCTTTAAGAAAAAAATTATCCTGGTAAATATTACGCATAACTGTTTCCCAAAAATGTATACAGTTGTTTTCCAACATATTTATATATATAGTGGTTCACTTAAGACCAGCCTTGTTAGAACCTTCTGAATATAATGTGCTCTTAATTTATAAATGGGCTACCCTCAGTGTATAAAATATATAGGCATGTATGTTATACATACAAAGTAAAAAATATATAAAGGAAAGATGGAAGAAAAAAGAAAGTATCCTTTCCTTTAAGATCCAGACAGAAAGTCGTTGTAATTAGTGGGACCATGGAAAATGTCTGAAGGATTTCAGTTTTGGCAAATAATTTCCAGAAAAATATCCAAGCTGTGAGAACACTAAATGTCAATTTTAATAATTTAGTAGAGGTTTCTATTCAAACATTCAGTGAAGGTGTTGCCATCTTCTACTATGAAAAAGAAGACTATGAAAAGAAGACTTTTGGGGTGTCTGTTAAAAGCAAAGAGCTGCTCATTTTTAACAGGTTACTAATAACCTTTTAATCAAGTATATGTCATGCAGAGACTCAAATCCTGGTCCAACAGTGTTTGAGTCTGTTTGGTGGAAGATTCCAATGGTGAGGATCCGAATTCATCCTATATCTTAGAGGAGCAGGATGTTATGGCAGTGGAAGGGGTCAGCCCCAAAGGTAGCTGGCCCAGCCTTAACTGTGGATGTTCAACAACAACAACAACAACAACAACAACAAAAACACCAAATGTTTCTATAGCATTCTTTTTGCTGCATTTTCTTTATTTTAAGCCACAGGTCTACTTGGAGGGTCATGCAGCAAGTAGCTAATAAATAAAATCAAAGTCTATGAATAGTGTCATCACATTAAGAGACAGAATTGCTGGGTTCTTTCATTATGTGAAAAGCTCGCATCTTGGGAATCCATGAGTTGGTAGGTTTTACGGAACACCTGAGATGTACCTTGCTCCAATTAACATTATCATGCTACTCACTATAAAGAAGCCCAAGGGCAGACTACAGAAGATACTAGGGTCACCACTTTCTGGAGATTGAGTTGTAACCCAACCCATTGACTTCATCACAGCTTTCTTCCATGTAGAATAACGAATTTCACTTTCCTCAGCATTAATCTGAGGTTCAAACCGCTCCATCGTGACGGCAGACAAATCTTCGGGTTCAAGACTCCATATGTTGACTCCTTCTGCAGCCCCTGCCGCCATGGCAGCACCCAGTGCAGTGGTTTCGGGCATCGAGGGCTTCACTACTGGAATACACAGAATGTCTGCTTGTAGCTGCATAAGAATTTTGTTGCTGGTCATTCCTCCATCTACCTGCAAATGACTGAGTGGAATTCCACAGTCTCGATTCATGGCATCCAAAATCTCTCGAGTTTGGAAACAAACAGCTTCTAATGCAGCAAAAGCAATATGGCATTTGTTGGTGAACTGAGTGAGTCCACAGATTATCCCTCTTGCGCTGGGCTCCCAATAAGGTGCATATAACCCCGAAAATGCTGGGACGAAGTAGCATCCATAAGAAGTACCTACTTCTTTAGCAAGTTTTTCAATTTCTTCTGAGGTCTTTATAATTCCAAGATTGTCTCTTAGCCAGCGAACAACAGCACCAGCTATAGCTACAGAACCTTCCAAAGCATAATATACCGGTTTGTCTCTACCAAGTTTGTAAGCCACTGTGGTGAGAAGGCCATGATCAGAAAATACACACTTATGGCCTGTATTGCATAGTAAGAAACATCCTGTTCCATACGTATTTTTGGCTTCTCCAATCTGGAAGCACATTTGTCCCACCAATGCAGCAGACTGGTCCCCTAAACACCCAGATATTGGCACACCTTCCAAGGCCCCAGCTTTCATTAGGCCATAGATCTCAGAAGAACTCCGGACATTGGGAAGAATTTCCATTGGAATTCCAAAAAAATCACAGAGTTGTTTATCCCATTCCAAAGAATGGATGTTGAAAAGCATAGTCCTACTTGCATTTGTGACATCTGTACAGTGGACACCTCCACTGACGCCTCCTGTCAAGCTCCAAATAAGCCATGAATCAATAGTCCCAAAAAGAGCTCGTTTGTCTTCAACAGCCTTTTGAACTTTTCTCACATTGTCAAGGAGCCAATGAAGTTTCACTGCACTGAAGTAAGTGCTAAGTGGAAGGCCTGTCTTGGACTTGACAAAGTTATTATTTCCTGGAATTCTTTTACTAAGACTCTCGACGGTAGACTGGGTTCTTAGATCAAGCCACACCACAGCATTGTAGAGAGGCTCTCCAGTTATCTTGTCCCAGACTACAGTGGTTTCCCTCTGGTTGCTGACACCAATAGCTTTTATGTTGGAAATATCAATATTGAGCTGTCCAAGTTTCTCACATGTTTTCTCTATACACTCATAGACAGAATGTAGAATTTCCTTAGGGTCCTGTTCCACCCATCCTTCTCTTGGGAACTCTTGTTTTATTTCCACTTGATGATGACTAAGTAGTTCAGCTGTTTTTGAATTGAAAACCAAAAAGCGCGTCGAACTGGTGCCCTGGTCCACCGCCCCCACCAGTGGCCCCCAAACTGCCTTCTTGGAGGCTGCCATGAGACCAGCTTCATGTCCGCCGGCGATTGCGGCCGGTTTCCTGGGTGACGGCGGCGCGAGGGGGAGGGGCGGGTGACGAGTCCAAAGAGCGAGGCCGCGCATGTCCGCTGAACCAGCCTCACTTCTTCACTGGCTGACTGGCGGGCTACTCCGTTCTGTCTGCAGCTCATTTTCTCTCTTGGCTTCCGGGCATACTTCTGGATTTAACACTGAGATTTTCTTTCCCTGTGCATTTTGTTTCTTCTGCCATCAACGCCCTCAGAATCTATATTGTTAGGTCACGTGAGACTCCTTCATAGCTCCTTGTAACCCTCATCTTCCCCCGACAAACCCATTCATCACCTTAGACTACAGTTCCAGAGTCTGTTGGATCTTTCTGGTATTTAGTACTCTGGGGTTTCCACCTTGGTTTGGACTAATGTGTGCCTTCTCATTCTCTTGTATTTCTTCATAAATCTGTGCTCTTTGGCGCTTGTTCTTCCAGCCAACTCTTGGCCGTTCAGCCCAGACCCAGTAGTCAGTCATTTCAAACCTATCCTCTCTATGTGCCTGGCATTGCCCACACTGTTGTGGGTGATAGATAACAGGCTCAATACAATTTAACCCTTGCTTATAATCTAACTTTATAGTCCAGTAACAATGAACTCACACCCTAATTAAGTATATTTGGAATATGCGTTATTCTCTGTAAAACCAGTTTTTATAATAGTTTCTTCTACAGAAAATTTACTTCAATCATTTGCCCACCTTTCTATAATTTAGGCTAGGAATCACTGCTTGGAATAAACATCGGTTAGAATAAGCTCATGATTTGAATACTGCCCTCTTGAAAGAAATTTGTGTTGAGTGAGTGGTTTTAATAGTAGTATTACTAGCCTTAGCCATGGACTATGCATGCCAAAGAATAGATGCTGATTATTCAAGGGTCTATTGCAATGTTAATTTACTGATACAGAAGATTCTTCCTTTGGAGAACTGTGAAAGCACTTGATACCAGCACTTTTTAGCTGAAGTCATGCCAACTCAAATGATGCTTCTTGAAAGAGTTAATTATTTGTATATTCATGCATTCATTATGGTCCTTTTTATTCCTTAGTAAACGACATACAGTCTCTGCTGTGCCTTGTTGACAGGTTGTTTTTCTGGCTTACTTGAGTTAACTGTTTTCAGGTTTCATTAAAACTGCCTCATGTTAATAGAACTGCTGGAGACATATATGATTTTTTTCTCCTAAAGATTAATAGTGTTGAAAGTCAAAGAATCACAGAGTATTAATGTTATAGGAAATCTTAGCAGTTATCTAGTCTAACACTTTCATTTTATTAATTAGGAAAATGAAGACCAGAGATATGTCTATTTTCCCAAAAACACTTTGTCTGTTAGGGATGAGCTGCTTATGGATCTAAGATACTATTGTTATTCATACTTTTGCCCTCACTTCTCAAATGGGACTCTGCACTGAGTATAGAGGAATTATGGAGACCCATCATGGCATTTTAATTTTGTTCAGAAAGGTGCTTGGCATTTAGAAATCAAATACAAAGGGTACTTTGTACCTTGTTACAGGATATAAAACAGAACAAATAAGACTTGGGACTTATATTGTTGATTTTATTACACTTATTTGGGATGAGGGTCCTAACCTGATGCTCTCTCTTTTTTTTTTTGAGACAGAGTCTCGCTCCATCACCCAGGCTGGAGTGCAGTGGCAAGATCTTGGCTCACTGCGAGCGCCGCCTCCTGGGTTCTTGCCATTCTCCTGCCTCAAGCCTCCCCAGTAGCTGGGACTACAGGCGCCCACCACCACGCCTGGCTAATTTTTTGTATTTTTAGTAAAGATAGGTCTTCACCGTGTTAGCCAGGATGGTCTCGATCTCCTGACCGCGTTATCCACCCGCCTTGGCCTCCCGAAGTGCTGGGATTACAGGCGTGAGCCACTGCGCCAGGCCCTGATGCTCTCTCTTGACCTGGTATGGCAAATTCTAGGGACTGTCTTTCATTTCATGATTAGCTTATTTTATTTCCTGGAGGGAAACAGAAAAGTTCAATTGCTCTAGAGAGTAATGAGCATATATGTTCATTATGGGAGGAATGAAATGTATATTCCATATACATGTATGGAAGGATGCATATATATACACATTATATGTGTGTAGTTTATGTGTTTAACGTGTATAGCATATTGATGGCATAGTCTTTACTACTGGGAATTGTGCCCTATTGCAATTATGGTATTTGTTCAGAGAGAAGAAACCGATGATTAAACGTCAGTATAACTGTGTTGGGCTTTATTCAGTGGCCAGTGGTGAACTACTGAAGGTAAATTACTAATGTCACAAGCTGTGATCCATAACAAGATGTCCAGTGAATATGTGGGTGAAAGGTTTGGAAGCAATAATTGAGGTTGGTAATAGGGTTAGAACTAGGATAATGAACATAGAGAGGAGGTGAATGAAGCAAGATCATAGATATGGGAACTAACTCTGAGTATAAGTGGAGGAAACGGATTACACTCTGAGATGACCTGCCTTTTAGCATTACAGTGTAGGTAAATTCTTTGTAGGTACATTTTAGTGTATGCATATTTATAGCCAGTGTGCAGTAGCCGCTGATTTTTACTGTACCTTACTGAGACACAGTAGACTGAAAAAGAATTCATTCTCTGAAAAGGAAGAATTTTTCACTTTGGCTGTGTTGTGTTAGGCTTTTATTAACCAAACGAATGCAAAGATGTTAGGCTTTTAGTTGATGGTATATTCGATGGGAACCAATTATGTAATTGTATCCAGAAAGGTGTAAGGTGATTATCCTATTCTGTTCTGTCCAGTTCATAGCTATGAAATTGAGTTTATTTTTAGGTTCAGTGTTTTGAGAGAGACTGATGCACTAGAGCCCTGAATTTATAGCGAGGGTGATGATGAAGACCCCAAATCATGTTGTGCAAGGAGTGGTTGAAGGACATAGGATTGTACAGACCATTGAAAGATAATTTGGGAAAATATAATGCTCTAAGATTTTGAGGAATTGAATTAATCTTGTTCTGTTTATTGTGGTGGCAGAATTATCAGTGTTATAATATAAAAGTGAAAAAGATTTTAGAGCAACGTACAGAAGAGCTTCTAATAGTAAGTGTTTATATTAGTCCGTTTCTGTGCTGCTGATAAAGACATACCTGAGACTGGGCAATTTACAAAAGAAAGAGGTTTATTGGACTTAACAGTTCCACATGGCTGGGGAGACCTCACAATCATGGTGAAAGGCAAAGAGGAGCAAGTCGTGTCTTACGTTGATGGCAGCAGGCAAAGAGAGCTTGTACAAGGAAGCTCCCATTTTTAAAATCATCAGATCTCATAATACCCATTCACTATCACGAGAAGAGCATGGGAAAGACCCATCCCCAAAATTCAGTCATCTTCCACTGGGTCCCTCCCACAACACATGGGAATTATGGGAGCTGCAAGATGTGATTTGGTGGAGACACAGAACCAAACTATATCACTCCACCTCTGGCCCCTCCCAAATCTCATATCTTCACATTTCAAAACCAATTATGCCTTCCCAACAGTCCCCCAAAGTCTTAACTCATTTCAGCATTAACTCAGAGGTCCACAGTCCAAAGTCTCATCCCAGATAAGTCAAGTCCCTTTCACCTATGAGCCTGTAAAATCAAAGGCAAGTTAGTTACTTCTTAGATACAATGGGGATACAAGCATTGGGTAAATACAGCCATTCCAAATGGGAGAAATTGGCCAAAACAAAGGGGCTACAGGCCCCATGCAGGTCTAAAATGCAGTGGGGCAGTCACATCTTAAAGCCCCAAAATGATCTCCTTTGACGCCGTGTCTCACATCCAGGTGACACTGATGCAAGAGGTAGGTTCCCACGGTCTTGGGCAGCTCCTACCTCCCAGCTGCCTTCAGGGACTGGTGTTGAGCATCTGCGGCTTTTCCAGGCACATGGTGCAGGCTGTCAGTGAATCTCCCATTCTGGGTTCTGGAGGATGGTGGCCCTCTTCTCACAGCTCCACTAGGCAGTGCCCCAGTAGGGACTCTGTGCGGGGGCTCTGACCCCACATTTCCCTTCTGCACTGCCCTAGCAGAGGTTCTCCATGAGGGACCCTGCCGCTGCAGCAAACTTCTGCCTGGACATACAGGCATTTTCATACATCTGAAATCGAGGTGGAGGTTACTAAACCTCAATTCTTGACTTCTGTGTACTCACAGGCTCAATACCACATGGAAGCTGCCAAGGCTTGAGGCTTGCATCCTTGGAAGCCACGACCTGAACTCTATGTTGGCCTCTTTCAGCCACGGCTGGAGTGGCTGGGACACAGGGCACCAAGTCCTTAGGCTGCACACAGCACAGGGACCCTTCTAGGCCTCTGGGCCAGTGATGGAAGGAGCTGCTGCAAAGGCTTCTGACATGCCCTGGAGACATTTTCCCCATTGTTTTGGTGATTAACAGTTGGCTCCTTGCAAATTTCTGCAGCTGTCTTGACTTTTGCCTCAGAAAATGGGATTTTCTTTTCTGTCATATTGTCAGGCTGCAAATTTTCCAAACTTTTATGCTCTGTTTCCCTTTTGAAGCTGAATGCCTTTAACATCACCCAAGTCACCTCTTGAATGCTTTGCTGCTTAGAAATGTCTTCCACCAGATACCCTAAATCATCTCTCTTAAGTTCAAAATTCCACAGTTCTCTAGGGCAGGGACAAAGTGCCTCCAGTCTTTTTGCTAAAACATAACCAGAGTCACCTTTGCTCCATTTCCCAACAAGTTTCTCATCTCCATATGACACCACCTCAGCCTGGATTTCATTGTCCATATCATTGTCAGCATTTTTGTCAAAGCCATTCAACAAATCTGTAAGGACTTCTAGACTTTCTCACATTTTTCTGTCATCTTCTTCTGAGCTCTCCAAACTGTTCCAACCTCTGACTGTTACCCAGTTCCAAAGTCTTCCACATTTCTGGGTATCTTTTCTGCAGCACTCCACTCTACTGGTACCAATTTACTGTACTAGTTCACTTTCACACTGCTAATAAAGACATATCTGAGACTGGGCAATTTACAGAAGAAAGCGGTTTATTGGACTTAACGGTTCCACATGGCTGGGTAGGCCTCACAATCATGGTCGAAGGTAAGGAGAAGCAAGTCCCATCTTACATGGATGGCAGCAGGCAAACAGAGCTTATGCAAGGAAAGTCCCATTTTTAAAACCATCAGATCTTGTGAAACCCATTCACTGTCATGAGAACAGCACAAGAAAGACTTGCCCCCGTAATTCAGTCATCTCCCACTGGGTCCCTCCCACAACACATGGGAATTATGGGAGTTACAAGATGAGATTTGGATGGGAACACAGAGCCAAACTTTATCAGTGTTCAAAGATGATATGACTGTCTTGGCATCTGTTGATGTGTGTAAACTATAGCTAGATAACCATTTATTGTGAAACTTTTTGAGGTTACACATACATATTACAGAAGCTGTGTCAGGTGACCTTTCAGATCCCTTATACCACTAAATCTTACTATTTTTATGACATTACTGAGAAAGAATTAACGGTTTATGAAACAATTCACATTAGACGTTAAAAAAAGAGTGGGATGACGAGGGAAAGGGTAGTTATTTAATGAATTTCATATTTGCAAGATGAAAATGTTAGATCTTTTTCATAACAATGTGACTATACTACTGTTTTTGAGATGGAGTTTCGTTCTTGTTCCCTAGGCTAGAGTGCAGTGGTACAATCTCGGCTTACTGCAACGTCCGCCTCCTGGGTTCAAGCAATTCTCCTGCCTCAGCCTCCCAAGTAGCTGGGATTACAGGCTCATGCCACCATCCCTGGCTAATTTTTGTATTTTTAGTAGAGACGGGGTTTCAACATGTTGGCCAGGCTGGTATTGAACTCTTGACCTCAGGTGTTCCACTTGCCTCGGCCTCCCAAAGTGCTGGGATTACAGGCCTGAGCTGCCGTGCCTGGCCCAGTGTGGATATACTCGACACTGTTAAACTTTACACTTAAAAATGGTTAAGGTGGTAAATTTTATTGTTTTTATCAGATAATAAAAGAGAGGGAGGGAGGCGAGAATGACTGTGACTAAGAGCTCATTCAGCCTGAGAATCAGAGTGTAGCCATTAGGACACAAAGGGAACACGGGAGGTCCAACAGGTGTCTGGAGAAGGGCACTGAGACGGTTTGAAACATAGGTATATCCTCGTCTTGTTTGCTTGAGGGAGAGCCAGCAGTGAAGTGCAGTATCAATTGAAAGGTTCTCAGATTGGGCAAGATGTTTAACAGTAGCCAAAGACAGGTTGGCCAGAGGAAGCACTTGATTTATGTTGAGAGGAATATCAACAGACATAGAGAATCTTTATCAAGTATCAGGCCAAAGAGTGAAGCACAGCATCAGTGGAAAAATGCACAATGATGAAAAGTCAGACCATAGAGCTCAAAACAGGCCAAGGTAAGTGGCCCAAGGTAGTAATTAATGTGAGGGTTTTAGAGGACTGCCTGTATGTGGTACTGGTTTCATGGTGTGTGGGTGGCTCTGTCTTGTTTAAAAGAGCCATGACGATTAGATCATCTTCATATGGAGACTAACAGACCGCTAGAAATTCAAACATTGGGGTTTGGGGGAGAGGTTGGATCTGGGAGCAACAATATTAGGGTAATAAAGATAACTGTGGACAGTAATGTACATGAGATAG